TAACATTTAACAGGCATGAGAGGTGGGAGGGAAAGGGAGAGAGAAGGGAAATTGCTTGGAAATGGAAGGAGACCCTCAGGGTTATACAGTGGAGGGGGTAGAGAGAGAGGAGGGGAGGGGAAGGGAGAGGTGGGGAGGGGGGATGGTGGAGGATGGGAAAGGCAGCGGAGCACAACAGACACTAGTATGGCAATATGTAAATCAATGGATGTGTAACTGATGTGATTCTGCAATCTGTGTATGGGGTGAAGGTGGGAGTTCATAACCCACTTGAATCAAAGTGTGGAATATGATATGTCAAGAAATTTGTAATGTTTTGAACAACCAACAATAAAAAATTAAAAAAAAAAAGAATATTATGATTTCTTTAAACTGATGAAACATATTAAACATATCATCTAAACAAATATAAGGAAAGTAATGTGCACCAGATTTCAAATATAAATGTGAATGGATATGTGATGTATCCCCTTTAAGAAATCAGGAATGACATTTATTCTTGGATATTTCCCCTATATCAAATATGGAATTATTGCAGGAAATAATTTGTACCTCTCATGACTATTCAAAGCTGAGTTTTAGTTATTTAATTCTTGTTTTTTTTTCTTTTTCTTTTCCTTTGGAGGTACTGAGGATTCAACTCAGAAACACTTTACCCCTAAGCTACATCCCCAGCCCTTTTTATTTTTTATTTTGACACAGGGTCTCATTAAGTTGCCGAGTTTGGTCTTGAACTTGTGATACTATTAGTTTAGTCTCCCAAGTTGCTGGGATTGCAGGCATGCACCACCGCACCCAGCTCTAAAATAAGAGCTATTTTTTTTGTATTTCAACAAGAACCAATTGCATGTTTCCATAGTGAAAGTTAAGGGCAAAAGCTGATGAATTTGCAGTTCAAAGAGGATGAACAAAAATGAAGCAGGCCTGAAATGACTTGTTGAGTAAGCTTTAAAGGGAGACCAAATTTGGAAAGCTTAAAAAAGCATATGATTAATTTGGAATGTAATTATATATAAATATTAGTGATATTTTAAAAGAAGGAGAAACAATACATAGAAGCTAAGGATATAGAGAAATAACTATGTCATGTTAATGAAAAATAAAAAATGAAAACTAAAAGGGTAAAGTAAATGACAGTATAAACTCTTGATAGAAAATCTAATATTGAAAATTATTGCTTGATTACAAGCTGTAAAAGGCTTTTATTATGTGTTGCTGTATAGAAGCAATGTCTATGGTAACGATGACCTTTAAGACAGATGCATTAACACACTCCCTATTATTTGAAGAAATATAGTGTGGAGCAGTTGAGCAACCTCTTTGGCAACCTACAACAATCACTTTTCAGAGATATACCTTTGGAAGATGTTAAATACTCTCAGCAGGTTTACTCTAATAGACCTACCCCCTAATCATCATTTCTCTGGTTGGAATAGGATACATAATTTGAGGATGCTGATTCTCTTACAGTAATGTCATCTCCTTGATAGAAGAAATGAGCTTTTTACTTATATTGCATGATGCTTATTCATTACATTTCACTCATTAATTATAAAATAGATATGTGTGATTTCTGTTGCAATTATCTTTCCCTATATGGAAAATAAAATGTCATATGACAAGACTGGAAGATTGAACTTTACAAAATATTTGAATATCCAAAGCTTTAAAAAAACTATTATTGGCCATTAATGTTAGGAAACGCTGTCTTTTTTTTTTTTAAAAAAATTTATTTCTTTAGTTTTAAAGGTGGACACAGTATCTTTATTTTACATTTATGTGGTGCTGAGAATCAAACCCAGTGCCTCACGCATGCTAGGTGAGCGCGCTGCCACTTGAGCCCCATCCCCAGCCCTGTATTTGTTTTTTATCTGGAAATGTCACATTGTCCCCCTCCCTAAGTGGAAATTTCTGCTAGTGATTAGTATTTCAGAAAATTGAACAAGAAAGTCACAGGCAATGATTTTTAGACTTTGACTTAGACCTAGTTCCTTCTCCTTCTCCTTCTCCTTCTCCTTCTTCTTTTTTTTCCCTGTGCTGGGGATTAAACCCAGGGCCTTATACATGCTAGGCAAGCACTCTGCCACTGAACTACACCTCCAATCCCCAAATTCCTATTTTCCTAGTCATTTGAATTTTTATTTCCTGGCCTCATACATTAGCTTCTGACATCAATCTTAGTTCACTCTAGTTGTATTGATCCATTCAATTCTATTTCATTCATTTACAATCTGAATCTGTACTAAATACTCACAAAATGTATGCCTCACAAATGAAATCTGAACAAAACTTTTGAAATAATTAATATGCAAAGACTGATTCTATCTAGCAAAGAAATAGTGTGAATTTCATTCTGAGGCCAACACAAAATAAATTATATTTCTTTTTCCGGCCAAGAAACAAGATAATTGTATCGTTAATTGGAGTAGTTTGAAGACACAGCCCACACTCTGGCGCAAAATAGAAACTTAACAAATGTGTGATGAGTAAAATAATAAATGAACAAATTATTTTTTAAAAAGTCATAAGTTCAGCCAGATGCGGTGGTGCATACCTGTAATCCTAGCAGCTCAGGAGGCTGAGACAGGAGGATTGCAAGATCATAGCCAGCCTCAGCAATGGTGAGACACTAAGCAACTCAAGGAGACCCTGTCTCTAAATAAAATACAAAATAGAGCTGGGGATGTGGTTCAGTGATTGAGTGCCCTGAATTCAATCCCCAGTACCGCCGCCCCCCCTAAAAAAAACATAAGTTCAGGCCACGTGCAAGAAATGATATATAATCAGTAATTTGTGTACTGAAGTTTTTTTTTTTTTTTTTTTTTTTAATGCTAAAAGAGTGTTGTAAGGGGTCCCGTGGAGCTGAAATGACTGCGTGGTTCTACAGCAATTGGGCCTTGTATTCTCACAGGAAGGATTTTAAGCAAGATGAACAGAATAGCAAGCAAGAATTTATTAGAGGAATGAAAATGCAAGTATACACAGGTTAGGCACTGAGTGGACAATCTCCAAAGAGAACGGTGTGGTTGTTTCAAAGTCTGGGTTTTTATGGGGTCTGGGTTTCTTTGTTGTCTTGTTTTATCATACCTCCTTTGATTGACTAGTTATTTATTGTCCTTTGTTTTTCATTTTATATGGCCCTCAGAAAATTTTTTTGTGAGGGTCGTAATGACCAGGTCATAGAAGATGGCTTTGACATGTTTTTGAAATAATAGTTCCTTTAAGGGGTTATGATTAACTATGGCCAGGGGTGGTTTGACATATCAGTTCCTGTTTTCTTTGTGGGTTATAAGTGACCAGATGGTTGTCTATTTTTTTTAAGGTTTCCTGTTTTTTCCATTCCTGTGACCTATGGACTCATCCCTCAAGTACACATTTGATGTCCTCCCTAAATGTTGTTTCTCCTTATTATCGCTCTTTCCACCTGCTCATAGCTAACTTCCTAACAAGAGGAGTTATGCTGGATCATATTTGTAAAATGCCTAATGTAGTATGATGAGGAATTTGGTATTCAATTTGTGGACTTAAAAAACAATATCTGTCATGAACATTAGGAGAAAAAAACAAAATGGAATAGTATAATCTAAGGAAGAAGTTGGTTTTAGTAAAGTGGGTATGATCCCCACTTTCAAATAATGAGTCAATAATAATGTAGTGAGGAATTTGATACTTTTGAAGTCTCTGGTGACCTTGGAGAAGGCAGCATCATGTGAATGGTGGTGACAGGCTAATACAAACATTTTCTGAACAAGATAAACTAAAATGGACCATTTTTTTTGTTGTTGTTTTTTGTTTTGTTTTGAGACAACAACAACAAAATCAGGACAAATCTTTAAGATAATAGTTTGCAAGACAGTGGACATAATGTAGCAGAGACTGGTCCCTTAGAAATGGAAGACAAATGAGTGAGTTCTACGATTTATGATATACAAAAGAACACATGAACGAATTGGGATGTACCTCTTTATGACTCAGAAAACTCAATATTATTATTATTTATCTTCAAATTAATCTAAAGAGTCCACATAACCTTCACCAAAGTCTAAACAGGCTTTTTGGGGTAGATATTCACTAAGTGATTTTTAAATTCCCATAGAAATGTAAAGGAAATAACAGAACCCAAACAAACAAAACAACTTTGTAAAAGAAGAACAGAATTAGAAAAACTGCAAATTAAAACCACAATGCAGGTAGGACTACATGCCTATTAAAATAGTCAAAGTTAAAATGACTAATCATAACAAATGTTGGGAGTGTGAGGAGGAATGGAAATTGTTATACACTGCTAGAAGGTTGTACAAAATAGTACAACCACATGGTCCAAGGATACAAAATTTTAGATAAGTAGGAGGAAAATGTCCAAACAAGAAGAGTTCTATTCTATAAAATAGTGACCATTGTATGTTACTTTTGAAAAATGCCAAGACAGTTAATATTAACTGTTTTCAACACAAAAATGACAACTAAGGGAATTAATATTGCATATGTTGATTAACTAGATTTACTTATTCCATTGTGTTTGTGTGTGTGTGTGTGTGTGTGTGTGTGTGTGTGTGTATTTCAGAAACTCATGTTATACTTGATAAAGACAAACGGTTTTATCTGTAAATTAAAAAAAAAAAAAAAGTAGTATACCCAATTGGGAAACGTTTGGTGGTTGCTTAAAAAAGTTAAACATACACCTCTCATGATCCCACCATTGAACTCTTAGCTAAAATTTACATAAGAGAAAAGAATGCATATGCGCCCACGAGAATGTGGATGCAAAAGTTCATAGAAGCATTCTCTGTAATTGTCCCAATCAGAAAACAATGTGGATAAATAGTGCATTATGTCCATACAAGGGACATACACAAAATGGACCAAGCTGGGTGGATTGCTGGGCACTGCCCCTCCAGGAGAACCCTGGTTGCCAGTATCCTAGCAACCTCGGGGGCCTCGGGTAAACACAGCGCTGAGGCTTGCTTGGGCGATCGGTGGTGTCTGGAGCCACAGGTACCATGGCGGAACAGAAGTGGCGGTTCCGGCCATGGATATTGGAGCCACTCTCTCTGGGCATGACCAGCAAGCCCTGGTACGACGACCGTTTGTCTTCAAGGTGTTTTGCAAAGCAAAAGAAAAAGCTTCTGAAGTTCCCCACCTCGCTGGATAGCCGGAGGTGGGTATTCGTTAAAGAAGGATTGGATGACTTCAGGAAAGGCTGTCCCTCCAGTGAGGATCTGATCACTCAGGGCAGGAGCCACAAGGAGGCCTTTCTCCCAACGATTTCTCACACAGTTCCCCAGCCTGCCCCCACGAAGAGTCGCAAGAAGTCCAAGAATGTAGGTCTGTTTTCCACGCTCTCAAGGGCTCAACTGGCACGCAAGGCATTTGTAGCGGATGTTGAAGCCAGCCTGACCCAGCATCCCTTGGCTCACTACCCAAATCTGGAAGAAGATCTCCCTGCAGAAATCTTATTAAAGGTGCTGGAAGTACTGGATCCTGACAGGAAGCTGGAAGACACGTGGGCTTACTGTGAGGGCCAAGGCAAAGGGACCAAGGGACCCCGCAAGGTTTCCAAACGCTGTACTAAAAGAAGCTTCGCGGAACCTCCCAAGATTCCCGGGTCAAATAAAAAAATATTGGTTCATGAAGAAGACAAGTCAAGTAAAAAAGATTTGCCCCCTTCTCAGGGTCATAAGCACATACCAAAAGGAATTAGTGACTTCTGCAAATGGGTTGCTTCTTTTGGAGACTTGGTCATTGATGAAGAGTTCATGATGCAACAGGTTGACAGTGACTATGAGTGCCAACCAACCTATGATGACTACCACATCAAGAAAATAAATCTGCTTCCTTCTGATCTCAAGTACTGCAACCAGCTAAACAAAGTGAAGGAGATAAGATTCTCCATACAGGAACTAGACTTTGAGAGGAAACTCCACAAATTCAAGAATCCTTATAAACCCGACTGGGTGAAGATTAGGTATGGGGCATGGTACCTGAAGCCCAAGTTGTGGAGAAAGCTAGTCAATGATGAACCATTGATTGACCCCAAGGTCTTACGTGAAAGTCAAGAACCCCATACTCCTAAACCAGACATTATTGACGATCTTTATGGGACAATTGCCTTTAAGGATTTCATCATGAGCAAAGGCTACAGTATGCCAGACATCCTTGAGAAGCTTTTTATCAGGAAGGGATGGAATTATGACTCTGTTAAGACTCCTATACCAAAAGCAATAAAAGCTCATGCAAGCACTGAAGATGAAGATGACGATGATGATGACTAGATGGTTTTCAATTTACTACTTATTTGGCTATTTCTTTTTCTCATTTCAAGCATCAATCAAAATACACAGTGACCATCCTGTCATGAATGTACAACTTTGGCAACATTTGTAAATTCAACACTTCATGTTTACAAACATTTTTCAATAAACTGCTTTGGATTCATCCATATTGTAGACATTGTATCAAGTATGAAAGCAACATTCACCTACACTTTTTCACATTTTTATAGCAGTTGAGAATATTATATCATTATCTCAATTATTTGTAAAAAATGCATAACACCATAAATAAAAGCAGAATTTCTCTAAAAAATGATCTAGTGATGTCAGTTACAACATGGGATGAATCTCAAAATCCTATAATTGTGCTGAATAAAAGGAAACTTGTATAGTTCCACTTACATGAAACTTTTTTTTTTCTTTTTATGGTACTAGGGATTGAACCCAGGGGCCCTCTACCATTGGGCTACACTCCAAGCCCTTTTTATTTTTAATTTTGACACAAGGCCTTACTGAGTTGCCCAGGCTATTTGTCAATTTGTGATCCTCCTGCTTCAGCTTCCTTGATCCCTGGGATTATAGGCATGTACCACCATGTTCAGCATAAAATTTTAATGAAATGATTACAGCAATTATTTTGGCAAACAAAACTTGAAATCTGTAGTTAAAACCATGTTACTCCATTTTCTCTTCTTGCACTTTAGTTTTTATTCTTCCCAGAGGTAACCATATTTAAGAAAATTAGTTTCAGGCTCTTTGGAGGTTTTACAACCTTAATTTTTTTTTTAAATTTATTTTTTAGGTGTAGATGGACACAACACAATGCCTTTATTTTTATGTGGTGCTGAGGATCCAACCCGGGTCCCGCCCGTGCTAGGTGAGCACTCTACCACTGAGCCGCAATCCCAGCCCTACAACCTTAATTTTATTTATCTGTTTATAAGGACTTTTAAAAAAAGTATATTTGTTCATTCATTATTCCTACTTATTTATTTATTTTGTGCACAGTACTGTGGATTAAAACCCCTGAGCCTTACACATGCTAGGCCAGCTCTCTACCACTGAACTATATTCCAATGCCTATCATTCATTCTTCTTGATGTGTATGCGAAGAAAACTTATGATCAACCCTCTGGGCAAACTGTGTACCATATAGTTTTCTTAACTATAGTCATATGGTTGTAATCAGATTTCCAGAACTAATTAATCTTACATAACTGAAACTTCGGCCAATATCTCCTCATATCTCCTCCCCTTCAGAGCCTGACAACTCCCATTTTGCTCTCTGCCTTTATGAGTTTGAGTATTTAAGACTCCACATGTAAGTGAAATCATACGACATTTGTCTTTCTGCATCTGGCCCATTTCACTTAGCATAATGTCCTCCAGATTCATCCATGTTATCACAAGTAGCAGGATAGCATCCTTTTTAAAAGTCACAATAACATTCCTATGTGTGTATATATACCATGTTTTCTTGATCCATTCATTTGTTGATGGGCATTTATGTTGTTTTTATATCTTGGTACCTGTGAGTAATGCTGAGGTGTACACAGGAGTGCAGATAACTCTTCAAGATTTTATTTCATTTACTTTGGCCATCTATTCAGACGTAGAGTTGGCAGATAATATGGTAGTTCCATTTTTAATTTTTTGAGGAATCTGCATATTGGTTTCCATAATGGCTGTACCCATTTCTATATCTGCCAACAGTGGGAAAGGGTTCCTTTTTCTCCACTTCTTTGCAATCACTTTTTTTTTTTTTTTGTACTAGGACACTTTACCATGGAGCTACATCCCCAGCTATTTTATTTTATTTTTTAGACATGGCCTTGCTAAGTTTCTTAGAGCCTTGCTAAATTGCAAGCTGGTCTTAAACATGCAATCATCCCCCAACCCTTCCCCAGTCGCTGGGATTACAGGTGCGCTCCACTGCTCCTGGCAGCCAACATTTATCTTCTGTCTGACAATATCCATTTTAGCAGGGGTGAAGTAAAATCTCATTGTAGATTTTATTTGCATTTTCCTGATGTTTAGTGATGTTGAGCATCTTTCCCTCTCACTGTTGGTGATTTGTATCCATTCTTCTTTCTTTTCTTCCTTCCCTCCCTCCCTCCCTCCCTTCCTTCCTTCCTTCCTTCCTTCCTTCCTTCCAACTTTTTGCAGTTCTGAGGATCAAACCCTGGGCCTCCTGCATGCTAGATAACTCCTCTACCACTGAAATATACTCCCCTCCTATATATCCTCTTTTGAGAAATATTTATTCAGGTATTTTCCCCATTTTTAATAGGACTACTGGAATTTTTATAGTTGATTTGTATGGATCCCTTATTTATTTTCAATATTAATCCTTTATGAGATATGGCTTGCAGATGTTTTCTGCAATTCCATAGGATCCTTTTTACTCTGTTGATTTTTTTCCTTTTTCTGTGCAGAAAGTTTTTAGGTTAATACAATTCTACATGTCTGTTTTTGCTTTTGTTGTATATGCTTTGGGTTCTGTGTTAGTAAGCTTTTCATCACCATGACCAAAATACTTGACAAGAACTTAGAAGCAGAAAAGTTTATTCTGTTTCATGGTTTCAGAGGTTCAGTTCATGTCAGCCAACTCCATTGGTCTGGACCTAAGGTGTGGCAGAACATCATGGCAGGAGGGTGGCAGTGGAGGGTTGTTGGGAAACAGAAAGAGAGAAGGAGAAGCCAGGGGGGACAAGACATAATCTCCAAGGGCACTTCTTTAGTCACTCACCTTCTCCAGCCATGTAGTAGTGTCACCCCCTTCTCCACAGAAAATCTTAACTGGGCTTCTCCAGAAATCTTCACCATGGCTGATTTTAGGATTGTCAGCAAGAGTCTCTACAAAAGAGTTCAATGTAGTTAAACTTCCTATTTTCCTTGGCCACTGGCCTGGAAGAAATCAGCACTCCAGATGCTGGATGCCCCCTTACTAGTTTTTCCACAAACATTTATCCAGTTTAGTAGTTTGTAGAAGTGTGTTTGCAAATGCAAAGGGTGATATAGAGAAAGAGAGAGAGAGAGAGAGAGAGAGAGAGAGAGAGAGAGAGAGATCCTTTAACAAGGCCTCTGGCCTTTTGTGCTGGAGCTTCACAGAGATGTCTATATTTCTAAGATAAGAGAAATTACCAGTTGGTGTCCATGGTAACAGCTGGCAGGGGGAAGAAAGAAATGGGAGAAGAAGCTCTCCCCTTCTCAGGTGCTATCCTCGAAGTGTTAACTTACCCAGAACAGTGAAAGAAAAAGCTGCTTTTATGTGAACTTCTGCAGACTGTGAACTTCTAAGCCCCTTCCCTTACCCACTGGGTATGAAGTACTGAAACTACCTGAACTTGGGGTTCAAGGTATTAATTGATTGAAGTGAAAGCTGGACCCTCTGAACCTGGCTGCAGCCAAATAAAACTATTTCCTGCTATCTTCGGTGCCCTGCCTTGTCTGTCCTCTACAACAGTGCCCTACCTGCCTGTAGTTACCATCCAGTTATTCCTTTCAAATTATTAACCTATCAAATGGATTAATCCATTGATTAGGTTACATCTCTCATAATCTAATAATTTTACTTCCTGCATTAACACAGGAGCTTTTGGGGCACACCTCATAACCACACCATAATAGATGCCAATGCCAAGAAGCTTTTTCTCGATTGTTTCTTTTAGTAGTTTTATGATTTTTGGACTTATATTTAAGTATTTAATCCATTTTGAAATGAATATTTTTATATGACTTTTTTCTGTTTTAAAGTTTTTTATTTTTTTCCTTTTTTAATTGGCAAATTATAGTTGTACATAATGATGGGATTGGTGCTTACATATTAATTACGTATTGCATACATGTATGCAATATAGCCATAATTTGGCCAATATCATTTCCTAGTATTTCCCTTTTCCTTCCTTCCGCACTTGTCCTGGTCCCTTTCCTCTACTCTACTGATCTCTTTGATTTTCAAGAGTCCCTCCCACTCAATCTCATCTTTCCCCCCCCTTTCCTTCTCTAGCTTCCACATATAATCCTTGCCTTTCTGAGTTTAGCTTATTTTGTTTTAACATAATGTTCTTAAATTCCATCCACTTTCCTACAAATGACATAATTTCATCCTTTTTCAAGGCTGAGTAAAATTCTATTCTGTATGTATACCACATTTTCTTTAATCATTCATTCATCTGGTTCCATAATTTGGCTATTGGGAATTGTGCTGCTATAAACATGGGTATGCATGCATCACAATAGTATGACGACTTTATTCTTTAAGATAAATACCGAGGAGTGGGATAGCTAGGTCATATAGTTGTTCCATTCCTAGTTTTTTGAGGAACTGCCATACTGAATTCCATAGTGGTTGTACTAATTTACAGTCCCACCAACAGTGTAAAAGGGTTCCTTTTCCTCCATATCCTCCTAGGCATTTATTATTGTTTGTATGCTTGATGCTGCCATTCTAACTGAAGCCAGATGAAATCTCAAGAGTAGTTTTGATTTGCATTTCCCTAATTGCTAAAGATATTTAATAGTTTTTCATATATTTGTTGGACATTTGTGGGTTCTTTATTTTTTTCTTTTCTTTCTTTCTTTCTTTTTTGTTTTGTGAAATAACTTTTTAGATATTTTGCCCATTTATTAATTGGGTTATTTGGACTTTTGAGTTAAGTTTTTTGAGTTTGTTATATATTCTGGATATTAATCCTCTGACAGAGTAGAGTAGCTAGCAAAGATTTTCTCCCATTCTGTAGGGTATCTGTTCACATTCTTGTTTCCTTTGCTGTGCAGAAGTTTTTTAATTTGAAGTCATTCCATTTATTAACTCCTGGCATTATTTCCTGAGCTTTAGAGGGAAAGTTATTGCCTGCCTTGAAATGTTGAATCTACATTTTCCTTTAAGATTTGCACAATTTCTGGTCTAATTCCTAGGGTTTTGATCCATTTTGAGTAGCCTTTTGTGCAGGATGACAGTCAAGGTTCTAGTCTCATTCTTCTACATATGGATAACCAGTTTACCCAGCATGATATGTTAAAAAGGCTATCTTTTGTCCAATATATTTTTGGTCCCTTTGTCAAGGATCAGATGACTGTAGATATTTGTCTTCTATTCTGTACCATTGGCTTGTGTGTCTGTTGTTTTGTCAGTACCATGCAGTTTTTGTTATTATAGCTTCAAAGTATAATTTGAAGTCAGGTATTATGCTTTTTCAGGTTAGAATTGTTTTGGCGATTCTGGGTCTTTTACTCTTGGGATGAATTTTAGGACTGTTTGTTCTAGTTCTGTGAAGAATATCATTTGTTTTTTTAAGGGAATTGCACTGAATATGTATGTTGCCTTTGGTAATATAGCCATTTTAACAATATTAATTCTGCCTATCTACAATCATGGGAGGTCTTTCTATCTTCTTGCATCTTCTTCAATTTCTTTCTTCAGTGTTCTATGGTTTTCATTGTAGAGGTCTTTCACCTCCTTGGTTAGATCTATTCCTAGGCTTTCTTAGGTTATGTGAATGGGACTGCTTCCTAATTTCTTTCTCAGAAGATTCATAGACAGGAAAGTTATTGATTTTTGTATGTTGATTTTGTAACTTGCCATTTTGCTGAATTTGTTTATCAGCTCTAGCAATCTTCTGGTGGAGCTTTTTGGATATTCTAGGTATAGGATCATATCCTCTGCAAACAGTGATAATTTTACTTCTTCCTATCCTATTTTTATCCCTTTTATTTCCCTCTCTTGCCCAATTGCTTGGCTAGAATTTCTAGTACTATATTGAATACGAGTGGTGAAAGTGGACATTCTTGTCTTGTTCGAATTTCCCCAATCACAATAATGATGGCTTTGGGTTTGTTATGCATAGCTTTTACAATGTTGAGATAAATCCTTCTATGGTTAGTTTCTGAGATAAATCCTTCTATGGTTAGTTTCTGAGATAAATCCTTCTATGGTTAGTTTCTTCAGTGTTTTTATCAGGAACAGCTGCTGAAATTTGTTGAAGGTTTCTCTGTGTCTATCCAGTTAACTCTGTGATTTTTGTTTTAATCTACTCATGTAGTGAATTGCATTTATTGATTTGAGTATGTTAAATCATCCTTGCAACCCTGGGATAAAACCCACCTGCATGATGTACCATCTTCTTATTTTGTTGAAGGCAATTGCTGATATTTTATTAAGAAGTTTTTACATGTAAGTTCATCAGGGATATTGGTCTGTAGTGTCCTAAAGTGTCCTTATCTATTTTTGGTATGAGAGTGATATGGACTTCATAGAATGAATTTGGAAGTATTCTATACTTTCTATTTCATGAAATAATTATCATAATTATAAATTATATCAATTTTTTTTGTATTTGCTAAGACTTGCTTTGTGGCCTAGAATATGGCCTAGAATATTCACTAGAAAGTGAATTCAGCTGTTGAATGAAATATTCTATAGATGTCTGTTAAGTCCATTTGATTTATAATATTTGTAAATTGTAGTCTTTACTGAGCTCATGGAAGACATGATTCTCCAGCTTTCAGATGGAAGTTTATGGGACTTCTTGGCCTGCATAAATATGTGAGCCAATTCCTGTATCCTATATATCAAGATCTGCTTCTCTGGAGTACTCTGCCTAATACATCTTGTTTTAATTCGAATATTATTACTTTAATCTCTACAAGATGGTATGCATTTATTCATTTGTTCATTTTCTCTCCTCTTCTGAAGAACGAATACTCTGTGAGAACAAGGACTTTGTTTAATTAGTATAGAAATTACCAGCACCTAGAAAGAACAGAGTATAAAGTAGATGCTCAATAATCATTTGCAAATGAATTAACAAAGGAAGAGGAAGATTTTTTAAATTATAAGATTTATTAGCATACTATAGCATTTCCCTTACATTTTTAATAATGAAAATGCTTCATCTCCTTTTACAAAAAAATGTGAATTTGTCTCTGTGAGATAGAATTCTTCCTTCCCAAAAAGTTCTAGTTCACATTTTCCTGGTTGAAAAGAATTTATTACATTTTTTGAAATTAAAATACATGCCTTTCCCATCACATCCCCAGTCCCCTTTATTTTTTGAGACAGAATCTCTCTAAGTTGCTTAGGGCCTGGCTAAGTTGCTGAGACTGGCTTTGAACTCATGATCCTCCTGCCTCAGCCTCCCAAGTTGCTGGGATTACAGGCATGTGCCACTGTGCCAGCAGGAATCTACTACTCTTCAAATAATCTAGCATAATATCCACTACATTGCTATTATAATAAAATTATGTCATATAAAAGAAAATAGCTTAAAACAAGATCTCTTGATATGATTATTATTAAGTCCCCAGTATAGGAAGCTTTGCCATAGAAACAATAGCCATAACTAAGGATTCTCACCTTAAGATGTTTAAAGTCTTTTTAGGAAGCAAGATGGGCGAACTTGAAATTAAATAGCAATTCAGGACAATACATAGGAACTATCTATATAAATCTATCCTGAATAAGCTACCTTTGCAAGTTTAGTCCCTTTCTCAGACTAACCTTGGGATTTACTGATTCGAACTGGGAGGACAAAAACCAACAACAAGGCTACCCGAGTGGCAGCAAAAGTCAAGAGGAGGTTGAAGGCCATGAATACTTCTACGTGGTTAACATTGCTTTCCCTAGGAATGCACCTAAAGCTTTTCTTTACTGACAGAGCAAAGAGAATGTTGTATTTACACAAGAAGAAATTCATGGTCTAGGTACAGAGAGTGAGCTGATCCAGGATATTAAGAGACCATTGAGATTGTCCATTTAGGAGTCCAGAGAGGACAAAAAGCATGTTTTGCTAGGGTGGTGGTGGAAGGTTCCAGAAAGAATAGAGAAGTGAGGAACCAGGCTGAAAAGTGTGAAAAAACACAGAAAGGTAGAAGGATGCAGAGATTTTGGAGTGAAGCTCTGCTGTCAGAGAAGTGTGAGCATGATCATGAGTGGAAGGAGAAAGGAGGCAGTGGCTGGATTTACTGACTTCCGAGAATGGATCGAGGACACAATCAAAAGGGTGTTAGTCTAGACACTGACGTCACTGAGGAAAGCTGCCGTTCAAATGAAGCCTGTGATATTAACCGTCCCAGAAGCCCTCCATCTAATGAGAGGGTCCCACTGGACAGTATTCACATGAGCCTCTTCATACCTGACCAAGATTACCATGATGCCCGTCCCTCTAGGCCTCTAACTTAAACATTACGCAGGTGAGACGCCCAGTGGGGTCGCCCTGGTTACTGAGGGAACTCTGCGGGGCACAGCAGGGCACAGCCGGGTACCGCCAGGCCCCTGACCCCTGACCCTCAACCCCCAGGAACACGCCACCGCCGCCATTGCCAGGCTCCACAGCCGCCATTACCCGCTTGCCTTCCGCAGAGGTCAGACCCGCCCAGGCCCCGGCACCGCCCACTGCCCCCCCCACTGCCCCAGGTGCCGCCCTCAGACACCCTGGCAGCGCCCCGGGGACCCCGCCGCCGCTACCGCGGCCGCCGCCGCTGCCCACTGCGCGGCCCCAGAGCCCGCTCCGCCCTCGCCTTCATGGTGGCACCCCTCCTGCCCGCGCCCGTCATGGTGCCCATCATGGTGTCGCAGGTGCGCCACAACTACCACCCCGACTGCGAGGCCGCCGTCAACAGCCAGATCCAGGTGCAGCTGCACGCCTCCTACGTCTACCTGTCCTTGGCCTTCTTCTGCCACCGCCCACAAGTGGCCCTGGAGCACTTTGGCAGCTTCTTCCTGCGCCTGTCGCACGAGTGGAGGGACCGCGCCGAGAAGCTGATGGAGCTGCAGAACCAGCGCGGAGGCCACATCCGGTTCCACGACGTCGAGCAGCCCCAGCGCAATGCCTGGCACAGCGGCCTCCAGGCCATGGAGTGCGCCTTCCACCTGGAGAAGAGCCTCAACCAGGGCCTCCTGGAGCTGCACCACCTGGCCGCCGAGAGGGGCGACCCCCACCTCTGCCAGTTCCTGCAGCGCCACTATCTGCACCAGCAGGTCCTCATCATCCACGAGCTGGCCGGCTACCTGACCAACCTGCGCAGGATTCAGGCCCTGGAAGACCCCATGGCCGAGATCCTCTTTGACAGGCTCACCCTGGGCCGCAGCTACAAGGACGATTGAGCAGAACTGTGCCCAGCCCATGCCACCCCCCGGGTGGGTCCCCAGGCCGGGCCTACACGTTGCCCTTTCAGCAAGTTCCCTTCAGTTTGGGCCTTTCAGTTTGATTGTTACTTCCAATAAAGTCATTTATTTGGTTTTTAATGAAATAAAGGTTTTCAGTTGGGGTGTGTGTATATGAGGGAAACTCTCGACTTTTCAAGGGTAGGTCTCCCTGTAGGTTTATAATGGGGATTCAGGAATCTCTTAACTCACCCATGCCTTATTTGCAGGTAGCTAAGGATATCAGCTTATCATGGACTCCTTCTCACTCTGCGCGCGCACACACACACACACACACACACACACACAGGTGGTGAGAAAGTGAGGGCTTGCAATGCCCTCTTAAAAGGATGAGGACCCCACCCTTATGACCACATTTAACTTTACTTAATTAGCTTCTTAGAGGACTTAACTCCTATTATAGTCACATTCCCAGTTGGTAATTCAGTATATGAATTTAATTTTTTAAAAAATTTTTTATTGGTTGTTCAAAACATTACAAAGCTCTTGACATATCATATTTCATACATTAGATTCAAGTTGGTCAGTATATGAATTTAAGATGAGGGGGATACTAATATTTAGTCTTTGCTGATGGGTCTTTTAATATGAATTGAGAAATGCACTTAAAGTTCAGTAAATTTATAAGACTGCCTTGCTTTTACTCCCTGGGCACACAAGTCCTCTTTTGCAGCCAAGCACAAGTTGCTAGCTAGGGCGTTGTATGATCTTTTCCTGAGACTGGACATAGCCTTCCATAATAGTTGGGATACTTGGGATCTCTTTAAAGTCCACTAATATCCTTTTTGTTACATCGCTGTTAAACTGGCGCACACCTGTAATCCCAGCAGCTCGCAAGGCTGGGACAGGAGGACCGCGAGATCAAAGCCAGCCTCAGTAAAAAGCTAGGTGCTAAGCAACTCAGTGAGACCCTATCTCTAAATAAAATACAAAATAGGGCTGGGGGTGTGGCTCAGTGGTTGAGTGCCTCTGACTTCAATCCCTGGTACCCCCCCATCCCACAAAAAATGTGACTGATTTTCCTGTCTGTAGGTTACCTTAACCCATATTGCAATTCCAATTTAGCTGTGATGTTGGTCTTCCTCAATTTTTGCCATTGTGATAGTTACTGTTTTCGACAACATTCACCTTAGATTTCTCTGCTCTCTAAAACCACTCCTCTCCTCGCCCAGAGTATTAGTCCTCATAGCCTGCTGTATTCTAGTAGAGCTACTATAGCAGAGCTAGTGGTGGGGAGGCAGAATGGGAACATCTTAGGCTAAAAATGCCACAAAGTGCCACTGGTTTTCTTAAACATGTTCAATTTGTTACATACCATTTGTCAACTAACAGAGTACTGAAATGGTTCTTTTGGACAATTTTGTCCAGTTTGGTTATTGCTTTTTTGAAAGAAATTCTGACATATTCACTTGGCCATGCTGGAAATCTGTTTTATAAATGGCTGTACTTATGAATTGTGGAGGAATGGAAACTGAGGGCTTACTATTAGTATAATTGTATAACATTTAATTGATTCTAATTTGGATACTTAAAAAAATACTTGGCAAGAAGTCTGTATTTTCTATTATATGAAATACACATGTCCATAATTAAGTAAAATTTAGATTCATTGCTATATTAGTCATTTAAAAGTAAGCACCTGTTTTTGCATTCATTAAATATGTTCCTCAGTAAAGGAAAAGTTTAAAATTTCTTTGGAAAACAGAGAATTTTAAAACATCTTGAAGTGTCTGTAGTGTGATTTTAAATCCCATGGAGGTTAGAAGCAGCATAGTTAGATATGATCAATGCACGATGTTGCAATATGGAAATACCCTAGTTAATCCCATTAATATGTAAAATTATCATGTCAATAATTATGAATTTTTTGAAGTTTATAGAGATTTTATAACCCTTTCATATGAACAGGGATTAAATTCTGGCAGCAATATTTATAACTTCAAACTAGGAAGATGTTTTTATTGAAATATGACTTAAAATTTAATTGTATGCAAAAGTAAAAAGAATTCCAGGAGTGTACACATGGTTGTTTCCTTATTTCTTTGACAGAATATCTTGGTTCATGTGCAATATCTCTATATATCACAGAGAAAAATTTTGTTTTTCTGAAGAACAGTGGATTGGGGTTAGATATGTCACACTATAAATAAGGTAATTGAATTTGCACACAATTATGGAATGGATTTGGATCAAGTTTATCAATGTTGTTTTGTCACCTTTTCATACAAGTCAGGGTTCTTTGGGTTTACATTATTAGATCTACTAGAGTTCTATTTAAATTTTATTTATTTAGCAAAAAATCTAAAGGAAAACAAAAGGAGTCTGAATTTAGATTGAGTTGATGCTGTCCAATGGTAGAATTCTTTAGCATATCCACTTAGAGTAATGAATATAAGTAGTGGTATCATTATTACTATACTAAAACACCCATGCTTGGCAGGAATGTGCTGAAATCCAAATATAACATGGTAAATTATGTCACTGTTCCTGCCCAGGACAACTGCTACTTGAAAGACACACACACATGTGATGAGGAAGCTAGCAGATGTGGTACTTGTGAGTTAAGTGTTACTTCACTGCTGACTCACACAAAGAGGTTTAGGAGGTTGCTTGTGTTGTCTGAAGAGCATCTGGCAGTTTCCACCTTGTATAGTAACTAACCTCATGGGGTTTTCATTCCATTTTAATGCTTATTAGTGTACCTTTTAAGTTTTCCTCACAGGAGAAAAAGCCAATTCCAGATTAATTAATGCTACCCATGAGCTAATGGATTTTTGAAGAAATTAAACCAGGCAACACAGAGTGTTGGTGCAAATAAATTTGCACATTTGAAGAAGCTAGAGAAGCTTTTGAAATTAATGAAAAAATGAGTATTGGCAATTTAAAAATTCTCAAAGAATTGTTTACATTTTTATGTATGTTTGAAATCTGCATTCCAAAGGTGTTTGCATTGTTGTCAATTAAAAATTACTTTTTCAAGGAAGTCTAAAAGTAGCATCTATCTAATAATATTCCCTGCATGGGAAAGCTAAGTTTACTTCCCTATGCATTGATGTGTTGCCACAGCACTCTGCTGAGAGCTAAGATTCATCATCTTGGCAGGAGAGAAGCATTTAGTTCAGATAAGGTTTTGATATAGAAAGTTAATAATATCCTTACTTTCATTCAAAGAGAAAGGGTGGAGGAAGCTAATGAAAGCTGATACTGTTTTTAAATGTTTTCCCTTTGAAACAAAATAAAGCCATATGTGGACTTCCCTCCCCATTCCATAAGACTACTCCTCTTCACCAGTCTTTACTATGAGCTACATACAAGTAAAGGAGACCAGGGATGGGAAAGCACAAGGCAGAGGTACAAATTCCATAGAACTGTTTTGTGGTTGGAAATTACCAGAAGTAGGCATTGAATAAAAATCCAGCCCCGTGCACCATGAAAATACTAGATGCTAAATGAGTGATACCAGATGTACTAGAAGGCAAATGTTTTATGTCTCACTAACATTACTTCATGTGATTTTGTGTATGTGCATAAATATGTCTATGTGTGTTTTTAACATAGCTGGCTATGTGTTAAAGTAGCCATATTCCTAGAAAGATCATGAGATACTATATACTCTAAGTAGAATTAAGTATCACTTGTAAATGTGATCTAAATATTATTTAGAACCTTCACTATCTATACCAAATATCATGGAATGTTCAGAGTAAAATGTGACTCATATATTTAAAATAAGCTCTGATTCTTCACATTGTGTGTGTTTTTTTTTAAGGAATATAAAATACCTTATATAAATGAATGATATTTTTAATTAAAATAATTTAAAACTTAAAGTTTTAAAGACTTTTTTCTACTATTTTGCTTTATAATATTGAAACTACTTAATATTTTAAAGATAGGACAGAAAGTCCTTTACACATATTCACCAATTTTAACATTTTGTCAGTTTTCTTCTCATTTGCACACAAATACATCTTTCCCTACCATTTGGAAATAAGTTGAACATGTCAAAAGAAAAAGATATTATTTTACTTAACCACTATCAATTACCCAAATCAGGTAATTTAACATTAATGCAACATTATTTAGTTATACAATATTATCTAATCTCTATTTGATATGGACAATCATTTCAATGATACCCTTTATAGCATTTTGTTTTCACTCCATTCCAAGATGCTATTGAGGCATCAACTCTGATCTGAGATCTGCCCAAATGGGGAACCTACTGCAGCTTCTCTTGCTAGCTAAATAAGCTGTAAAGTTCCAGGCATCTGTGAATAGTTCTTGGAAAAGAGAAAGGTCTGGCTAGAGAGGTGAGGCACTCAGGATTGGGGAGAATGAAGGTGAACTCATAATCAACGACCACAAAGGAAAGTAAACCTGTCCTCTCCGGCTCTCCATATCTCTGAAAAGTATAAGGAAATAAAATCAAACCAAATCTCATTCGGGAATACCTAGATGAACTGTAGTCAAACAGCCAGAAACGCGGGCTCTAACAGGTGACTAAGGGAATTACTCTTTGAAACAGTAGGGAACAGAGCGTGGGAAAAACTGAACAGGGAACCCACACATCTTGGGAGTTGGGCGTTTTAGCCCGTTTCTTTTTTAACGGGGGTGTGGAAGGAGTTGCATTTTTTTACACAGCCACATGGTTCTCGCCTTAAACGATAACAATTACCCAAAATAGCATACCTGTTACTCCAGAGCGGGAGGAATGGCCACGGAGGAGGGAGAGGGCGTGGGACGCGGCTTTAGGCTAGGCGACCTGGAGCCTGGCGGGGAGAGGGGTGCATGCAGGGACGCGTCTGGAGGCCGAGGCTCCACAAAGGGCCGGGACAGGGGGAAACGACGGGAGCGGGGACCGGGAGAGGTGGGGAGGGGCGGTGGCCGTCGTGGCATTGGGGCGCGGGACAGTCCGGGGAGGGAGGCAGGGGTCCCGG